CACTTGATTATAATTAGCCAAAGTTTAATTCACTTCCATTGTAAGTTTAATTCACTTCCATTGTGGTTTTGTCCGTTCTTATTAAAGCTTGAAAATAACATGCGTGCCGTCACCAAGAGTGAGCAGAAGATTGTCGACGCGATTGTCCTTAGAGGCCAGCTGGTTGGTCTTGTCGATGCATTGAATGGCATAATCTTTATCCTCCTGAACGACTTTACCACGCCGTAAAGCCTAACAAATCCATCAACACTTGTTAAAACAATCTGGATTTAATCCACAATATGGAATTCGTTTTAAGTGTTTTCGGAAAAGGAAATGGACGAGAGGATTCAGTTAAGATTTTATTCTTAACCCTAACTTCTGTAAAATCGCAACTTCGCAGATAAATTTCAATCAGTTGTACATTCAGCTGGTAGAAAAAAGATCAACATTTGCTAAAAACAATCTACTATTTTGCAAGTAAAATTTATTCCTTCTCCCACGTGTATAAGTAGTCTAGATGATTTCTGGTGAAGGAAACCTCTTTTGGAATTTTGGATATGGTATTAGTTTCCTTAAAAAAAAAGAAATTTGACTTACATTGTCAATGAGTATAACTCCACCTGCCCTCAATAGCTGAACGCATCGTTCATAATAATTTGGATAATTCTCCTTATCGGCATCAATAAATGCGAAATCCCATTTCCCACACTGACCATTAGCTATCAAAGCATCTAAGAAAATTTATCCTTACTAGTAAGTGCACTTGCAACTTGATTAGTTTAGAAAATTACCTCTCATGTAATGGAACGAATCGCTTATTCAAATGAGCGCATTAATGAGTTGCTTCTCCTGTCCTGCATCAATAGATTTTTCACTTAATTTGCTATTTAGTCAATCTTTTGCACATTTACCTAATGCTTCCAGAGCAGGTCCCAATTTAAAATTAATCTTCTTGGCAATGTCAGGAATTTTTTTAAAAATTGCTTTTCCCGTAACATTCAGACTTTCATGCGACAAATCCATTGATAATATTTCACCATCTGGCGGTAAGGCAAGAGCCCATGCTAGTGCAGATGCTCCAGTAAAAGTACCTGTAAGTTAATTTATTTGGACTATGTAATTAGTAAGCCAATTCTAATAAGGACATACTGTACAAGGTTTAATTTAACAAAAGTGCTTCCACTTACAGTACTTTAAAATAACTCGATGAGTTAAGACATTTTATACAGAGTAATTATAGGGTGTTGCTTGATTGAGCCATTCTAAATCCCTCCATTTTTTACAGTGGTAAATTGCAATTTGACAACGAACCAATATCTAAAGCACGTTTAGCCTTAATTAATCTGATCATATTTTTTCCCATTTGAAGTACTTCTGGTGCCCCAATCATGAAATAGTCTTTATGATTTTGCATAGTCTTTTCGCGAAGTTCTTTCTCCATCATATCTTCCTTTACCGATATCTGAATTGTATGGGTTATAATGACAAAATCAATACTCTATCTCATTTTCTAGTTGGATAAAATGAGACCATTAAAGTTCAATGCTTTTTGCTAGAGTTCTAATTGAACATGAATTGATATTGATTTATACAGAATAACTATTGCAATTTATGACTTCTTCAAATCTATTATTTAAAAATAAGTGGATAGATAGAGAAATTATGGAAAGAAATAAAGTATCCGGTATAAAAAACGTACATCTGTGCAATATTGAATGATTGGATTACTGGTACTGTAACTTTTCGCAATTTCAACATTGTGTAGAATGTGATCATTCATTTGGGCACAGCTTACGAGCGGTATTTTAAACTAGCAATCTATCTTTGCAAATTTATGTTTTACAGTTTTGTTGACAAAAATTGATGAAAAATTATCGATTAACAACTTGGCTGGATTATCAAAGGATGAAGAGCAGTGAAAAAAGAGAACGAGAAGGTGGAAATCAAAATATGAAACAAGAAACTTGCAGTTTGTTCTTTCATATTATGTATTTGTGAGATAAATAGATGATATGTCGGACTTATAATCTCATTTAAAAGAAAAAAAAAAGTTATAATAATATTAATACAAATGTTGAGATGGAATGAATGGAAATGGGATCTGACATAACTTACTGCTGACTTCTTTCCTCAATACAGGCTGATTTTTAAACACAAACTTATCTTGTCCTTATATTAGGAAAAACTTACATCCACCGCAAAAAAAAAAGAGATATTGAGTGGAAATATGTCACATGAGAAAAGTTTGGTAATCAATTCGATGAAGGAAATTTCAAAATCTCCAGTGCTCATCCATTATAACTCATCCATTCATTGTTTCCATTTGCGAGTGAATTGAGGATGAAAAGAATGAAAGCTTCCGTAGTGTTTTGAGGAATGTGAGAAACAGTAATTAATTAAGTTTACTGCGGGACACGGACATAGTGTCGTAGCTTTCCTGCACTCAGCTACAGTATTTTTCTCGTAAAGCTGGTTTTTTTTTCTGATCATCTCGATCAGTGATGGCACATGGCTATGAAAATTGGTAAATCGAAATGGAGTTAATAAATGATGAGAGCTGCAGATTGTTATCCTATCATTGGAACTCTGAAGAGTACAAGATTCTCTCATCTAATCTTTCTCTGGTTATAAATAAAGCATCATTATAGCCTGCAATTAGTTTGCATAAATCATTTTTGTATAAAATGTGACTTCAAAGAGATATCTACAAAATATGGCTGAAAAGAAATCGGGTCAAAGGCTTCGCTGTTAACAACATAATATTAAATTTGAATTATTCGAAATTCTCATAAAGTTATATGGTAATAAAAAAATCAGCCTTTGCAGGCATGTCAAGTTCACATTCACCTTCATGAATGCAACTGGAGTTGCAAGTTTGAATCTCAGCACTGAATCATTTCCGAGCCTTTATTGGCTTACCAATCTTATTAGGATATGCACTGACAATAGGAAAATTAACTTAAATTTAGGCTAAGGCTTAGAACTATGTAAAAATGCGATTAGTGGATAAGTACGATAGGATTAAGTGCAACATGCAACAGCGTTCATAAGAACTATACAATAAGCAAGGAGACGATCAGATTTGATTTTTTAGGTTTCAAATTCATTCTTTTCGAATTTAGCTGAATTCAGGCAAGAATGGAGTTTAAGAAAAGTGATGTTACTCTATATTAAGTGGCCTGAATTTCTAAAAAATGTTGACTTTGCTCGTAATTAAGCACTGATCTCATAAGCAAATAAATTTCTATCTGTGCCCCAACGAAATCCGAAAGAAGTATCTGTAAGAAAATGCTTGAATAAACTGTGGTAGAAAGTGGAAGGGACGTCCAGTGGCGATGTTTTATTAAGATAGTGTTGTAGTTGGACGATGATTGACGATGCGTGCACTTACTGTGTGCATTCTCTGCATGCATGTATGCAGAGAAAGCATGCAGTAAATCTCAAAGATATAGGGATGCTTTTTCGTCTTACTCTATGGATTATTATAGGAAGGGATGTGTTTATTTCCGGGAGCGCATTTTTCACATACACATACACAATAAATCTACAAGCTTTTCCTCAACTTCATCCTCTCCCCTTCACCTCAAATCATATTTCACTTTTGGTTCTATCTGCTTTCCAGTGGTTAGTCATCCTTTAATTTCGATAGAATACAAACTACAAGAAAAAAATTCGATAGGAATTAACTAGGTATAGTGTTATTTGTTGTATTATCGATTGCATTATTGTGCTCTTCCTATTTTGTACATCATTTGAAAATGTTTGTTTGTACAAATTGAATAAATGAATGATTGCTTAGTAAAAGGAAATCTTAATGAAGTGAAGATAATATTGAATGTTAAATGGTGGGCTTTTTGATTTAGACGTTTTGAACAAATTTTAGCTTACCTACATAAGGTAAATACTCAAAATAAACATCTCAGCCATTTTTTGTTTCATGTTGGTAGATAGGAAATACAGTTCATATGAATAGTTGAAAATTACGAATTGGTTCATTCGTTTATTTCGTCTTATACGTTTTTAATGAAGCTTTAATACATTAATAATTCTAAACGGTTCATTTTCTTTCCGGTAATAATTCTCTTAAGAAGTTAATAATCAGAAATGGTTGATAAGGATAGTGCTATGGTGTCACAGATCATTGCGGCACTGAATGAATTGCATACTACGACGGATCAAAAACGATGTCGAGAATTGGATAATGCGTTGACTACGTTAAAGAAATGTAAGTTATATCGTAACATTAAGAGAAACCACATAGGTGACAACCAGTGGATTAACATCTTTCTTGTAGCAACAACGATAACGGTAACAAAATTCCTTTTGTCGGATAGTTAACAATCAATGAGTAAAGTTCCTTTGATATCTTGGAAACTATTCACCATAGGGGAGGCTTTCTAAAAATAAAAAAAAATGGTGCTGCTGAAAAATTACTACCTTTGCATTTGTAAATAGTAAAAACAAAAACCTCCTAATGCATGCTTTTGATTTCAATTTCCGTCATAAGATATGTGTAGTTTACGATGCCTCGTCACAAATTGGTACTTTGTTGTACGCCTTAAGACAATAAAGCTCTGCTCACACGAATAATCACCAAAGAAGTCATCATTTGAATAATCTGAAAAGATGATGGCTTGCTTATAGCTGAAAATGGATTCATAATATCATTTCGTTTGCTTGACTTCGAACAACCAACTATTGTGCAACATTTTGGAGCATGCATTTTTTACGACACAGTACGTGAACGTTGGGAGGAATGCCTGTCAAATGAAGTTTTGGTCTGTATACATTTTCATTTTTATTTAGTGATAAGACTACTTCATACGAAATTAAGGCAAAGATATGTTACTGTTACTTCTGAGGTTTGTAAGACCCTAGTAGATTTGAAAATGTTTTCAAGTTATTGTAAATAAAGCATATTTCTTTTATAGATAATGAAAATTAAAGAAACACTTTTGGAAAAGTTGGCGCTCGGTGCTTCGTTTTTGAATCAATCTGTCACTAATAAACTCACTTCATCATTAGCCATTTTCATTCTGTGTTGCATGCCTGACATTTGGCCGGAACCAATTCGGGATTTGGCCACGATGTGGAATGATAAACCAGAATTATTGTTAAGGCAGTTTTTCTTATTTCCAACAATCAAATTGTGTCGTTAAGATTTTTTGAATCATTTCAAATACAACCTTTTTCATAAACAAACTTTTGGCTGACCAATTAATCAATGCATTCTTTTCAACTGGAGGCTTAGCCGTCCTTTTCAACTGACTGTCAATTCTTCCATTCATCCCATGGCTTTGAATGTTATTGTTTTTTATTGCTAGGGTTTTGGCTGAATTGGCAGCGGAATTTTATCGCATACGATTACCACTGTCACAGCGATCTCTTCTGAAATCATCTTTGCATCAGAAGGCTGAGTTATGTTGTGTTTTCCATTTACGCTGCTATATTTTCTGTGTAAAGCAGTAAACAGTCATTCACTGCTGTTATTAATAGAATTGCATTGTTTGATTCTTTCTAAAAAACATGTTGAACGCTGAATAATTAAGCGAACAATGAAGCAGTCCTGATTATCTTTTAATAGTCGTTTCATAGGCTGATCAGAACAGTTTCAGAAATTGCGGCAGTCAGTTTTTCGGATTTCTGCATAGAGCTGTTCATTACCTTGTTATTGTGTGTTATTAGTAACTTTGATTTTATTTTTAGGATGTTATAAAAATCATCAACATGATTCTATGTGATAAGGACTCACCGCCATCTTTGAAGAATGCTGCCGTTGAATGTCTTGAACAATGGCTTCGATTACCTGGTGTTGAACTAGTGCGGTGGCAGCCTGCGCTTTTGCCCTTTTTGGGCAACGTAAGTGACAGGTATTTGCTGAATTTATCTATAAAGAAAGGAGTGTATAAGATTTCCACTTCTTCGAAATTGAAGAGTAATTAGAAGCTCAAGGTTTTTCTTCCACTTGTCATGCTGTATAAACTATGAAAAGTTAATACTAGACAAGACTAGTATATCTGTGCTACGTTAGGAGTCGTAAACAACCAACGTCTTGGTATTTTACTTTTTGATTACTTCTGCTGTTAAAATGTGCAATTTAGAGTTGCACTAGCTCGCATTTTGATTGTTGTTTCGGCACATTCTGATCTACCATATATGGAAACCTTAGCGATGGATCTGGCTACATTTTTGGCGAGTATCACGTGCCCGGTTGATTTTCTTTCAGTTTTTTGATGGTTCAAATATAGAAATAAGCGTTTCTGGGCGAATATTATTAATTATATCGCAATTGCAACAATTTTTGCATCATTACTTAGGCGCGCTGTCGCGATGAATATAATCTGATTCATCCATTCTTAGCATTTTCATAGCTTATTATAATTAGCTTTTTAAGATAGCTCTTTCCGTCTCATTCTTTATTCATACCTACATTTTTGATTTTTATTAAACATGAATTTCAGGCAATTGTAGAACAACTTGATGTTTTAAACAAACAATATAAGGAAAAAAACGATGTAAATCGAGAAGATTTTATCTCCGAACTTGAAGAATATGGGTTTTTAGTGTCTGCATTGGCTGAGTTTTTTGAAACTACAATGCGACCGTTACTTATCGGTTGTGTAGAGAAGCGAAATGGAGAAGTATTGAGGTAAGCTCCTAAAATTTATTACCATTTATGAACTATATCATTTATATCATTGTTGGCTAACATTTTCTTAATTTTTTTTTCGAATTAAAAAGTCGATTTGAACCTTGAGATGCACATTTCTCTGTTTTCCGAGTATATGCACTTTTATGGGCTTTATCAGTAGTGGTTTTACAGTAATGGTTCTGTGATTTTATTTAGTTGGGAAAATTTATTTGCTTTTTATTTTAGACTTATTTTTTGTTCTCTATGTTCCAGACTGCTCTGCACATTTTTTGAGAAAATTTCGCTTTGGCCAGGTGTTTATCCGTATGATGAGGTCATATCAGATGCCTCAGAAGTGTTTTGGAATACCCTAAAAGAGGATTTGCTTTCTTTACCTGGATCACGTGTTAGTGAAACTATGCGGGATGAAGTAAGTATAAGTCCGAACTACAGTTAGTTCATTTTGTTGTTTTTTACGGTATTTGTTTGCTCTTCAAAGATTAGGTAAAGTTAAATTCTAATTCATTACATTTCTCATTTAAATTGCGACATTCTTTCCACCTCATTTTTTTCTTAAAAAATAATTTGAAATTGCATTGGTTTGCAGTTAGACTTGTCATATAATGTAAAAAACATTTTGTTTTTCCGGTTAATATATATATATATATATATAAGCATTTTTTTTCAGTTGGTTACCGAATGCAGTACATTTTATATACGATTACAATGGTCTGCAGTTACAAAAATTGCTTATCCACCTCAGAATGTGTTTCAACTCTTTAATAAAGTACAAGTGGAAAATTTTGAAAGGTTTTAGCTACAGTTTGTTAGCTAATATTGAAAGACAAAGTTTATCAGAAAAGTGCGTGTAACTCCACTATCAAATTCAAAAGATGATTATCAAGAATTTCGAGTTTTAGGCAGTCTCTCCTCTATCAAGTGTCTTAACGCTTTTGGTACAGGAAACATTTTTCGGTACTCTGAAGAGCCTTAACCCTCGAAATGTAAAAAAAGAAAACTGAAGTGTCTTGAAATGTGAAGTAAATCTTAGCATCACAAACTTCATCTGTTTTGTAGAAATGTTCATTACAGACTTCTTTTCAAGCGGCGATGGGTTATTTGTTCATTCTGTTACCAGTGAAAATTTGAGTCATTTTTCAAATTCTTTCAATTTAGATATCGTTCTCAACGCGTTGAGATTTCCTTAAATACATTTGCGATTGCGCCAGCGGATTCTACTTCAATGCTAGTAAAGCTGTTGGGTGAAGCAATCGCTGAAACTAATATTTGCAAGTAAGTTTTTTTTTTTCATCCTAGTTTCATGAGTACATATATTTATTGCTGTTTATTTTGTATTTTTTAACTTCCATGATGTTTCCATCACAGATCAGACAGTACTTTATATTTAATCATCCGAATTATCGTTCGTTGAACAATGTGCATGTAACAATATTGAGTTGTAATAATCAACATCATCAAGAAGTGGGACTGGTTCAAATGTTTCAAATGGGATTAGCAGTGTTACGTTTACTCCACAGTCTCTTATCAAAAAGATAAAACATTTATTTTGGATTTCTGCAATCAGTTTTTTGGTAGCACTTTCCGTCCTCTTCCTCCCCTCCCCCCTTCCCCAATATTTTCTTTCATGACTTCTAATTTCATTCAATTCAGCATATGCTCTCAGCGGCTTTTGTAGCTGAAAAATTTACAGAAACATATATGATTCCTTGGAATACAGAAAATGTATTGTGTGCTGTGCTTTACCAGTCTATTTTTAGATTAGAAGCAGTTTTCTATCTTCTTGAACGAATAGCAGATTACATGACGGAGAGTGACGCAACTGTAATCGCTCAGATTGTAGAATACTGTACGTCACTCTTGTCTTGGCATCTTACGGATGATATTTATGGAGCAAGTCAGCTTGGAAAATCCTTGATGAATCTCTTTTATTCATTATCACATCTTATCTGTACTGGAGCTGAAGCTGATAAGCAGGGAACAATTTGTATGGAGCTTGCGTTGTCGTTTATTGATATTGCTGGTTGCACGGAAGAGGCACTCAAAAATCTAGAAAAATATGTTGAATCACGAACATCACATTTGGATGTAATGGATCGAGTGATACAGAAATGTTACGAATATTTCAATGACAATCAGAAACCGCGTAGGTTGCGCATTTGCGCGCTTCGATGTTTGGGCTTATCGCTGGCTGTACATGAAACGGATTATGTGCTGAAAAGTCTGGACTCAATTCTTACACCGCGACTAAAAATTTTACAATCAGTTGTTGAAGGGTGCGTGCCAACAAGTTCGCAGTCAACAGAAAGTCTCGAGGAAGAATGTATTTTTGAGCTTGATGTGCTTTCTTCTCTAATAGGTACTCAGAAGATGCAAGCTAATACTTCTGTCAATGAAAGTCAAGCAAAAGAGAAAAATATTTCAAAAAACACGGTTCACATTGTACTGTGGCAGTCCATGCCGTTGCTGTTAAATTTGCTTCGAAACTTCTCGTCTTCTGAAATTTTGGTGGATAAAATTTGTGATGTTTTACGTTCAGGTCTGATAGCTGTTCAGGACGATGCTGAAGCACTGCTGGACTCTTATTGTATTGTGCTTGATTTTATAATGTTAAGACATCCAGTTGCTGCTTGCAAGTTAGCAAAATCAGTAGTTCTAATTTGTTCAAGTAATAACTTGAATGATTTGGTTGTAAAACTCGCAGCACGAATGGCATCTTGGTTCAAAAATATTAATGAGTCGATGGAAGAATTTAGTGAAGAACATACAGAATTAGCTTATCATATTGTGAAGAAAGACTGGAAATTTCTATGCAGCTCACCGGCATATGGATGTACTTTTCTTCGAGCGGTGCTTAGCATAGCACTCAAGGTCAGCTTTCTTTATTATGGCTTTTTCAACAAATACCAATAAGGGAAGTAAGGATTTCCGCTTAGAGTATAAGTCATTTTGTAAGTAAACTACTGAATTGTTCGTGGTCAAGTTTACAATAATAAATATGCTAAACCAGAAAATATGGTTTTCAATTTGTGTGCTGTGAGTAGCTTATAGTGAAATCATGTAAAATGAATTTTAGATACTGGCCGCTAGTAAGGATACGAATCTATGCCGAAAGGGTTCAGTTCTGCTTGCTACATTGATCAGGAATATAATCAATAATGGCGTATTCACAGAAGTGCTTCAAGAAGCTGGCGAAAATCTAATTAGTGTTGTATTTAATCGCCTACAAACTGAGCTGATGAAATCAACAGCTGAAGCTCTTTCGGAAATTTTGATGTTACTTGCCCGAAACTATCCGCGGGAAACAAGGTTAAAATATTTCATGAACTATCAGGCCTTCTGATCCCCATTATCATTTTATTCGCGAAGCACCTCATTGATATTGCTCATATTAGTTTCAATTCTAATTACATTTCAGACAGTGCTTAAATGGTCTTCCATATGGTAATACCCAGGAAGTTGTTAATATGCTGAAAGAAACCCATAATGCAAAAAATTTCAAGAATATGGCATTACAATTCAACATGCAGAGGCGAAAAGAAATCAAAATCTAACTCGAGATGAACTTACTTTGTTGTTACGAAAGGGTCATGATGCATTTGAGCAATATGAAAACTTCCTCGTTCCTGATTATTTCGACTGCTCCAAAAACTATAACTCCATGTATAACCCGTAAGAATATTACTACATTTTTGACACAAAATAAATAAACAAAGGCACGTCGCGGTATTGATATTTTGGCGCATATGCATTTTGACCCACATGTCTTTTGTAAAAATGTTATTGTTATTTTTCATCGAATGTGATCTAGTCGAAGTGCTCAGTAATCTTAGACGAGCGAGTTCAGTTTGGTGTGAGTTTTTTGCTTCAGTTAATGTCTTCTGTTTATGGGGGCAAATATTTTTTATCTATGGGCTCAAATAGGATTTCTTTTCATTCAGTGAAAACCACTGAAGGATGGAAGTTTTGCTGCTGCTCAAGCCTCAGATGACATAGTTCCGAATTCTCCGTAAGATTGTCAATGTGATCTCACTGCATAGCTTTGGACATGCGGACTTTCCACTGATTTATTATAGTGCCTTTTTTGATAGCATTAAGTATCGCCAATGAAACTTATAAGACTGATCCCCCAACTAGGCTTTTAAAGTTGGATGTATTCCTCCATGTCCTTACCTTCAATATTATCAACCTTGCTCATGAGTCAGATCTGCCCGGAAATACTAAGCTGATTATCATAGAATTCACCAACTGTTTGTTCCAACTATGCTGTGATTTGTATGACAAGCAAGCGTAAGCACACCTCGAGTTCTGTACGCTGTTCCTTGCCGTTTATATTTCCGTATTCGGAACATGTACACATATGCAATGAACGGATCGTGACTAGTTTTTGTTATGAGACTGGTGAAATTCAATACTGCCGGTATGTAATCCCGTCTTTGGCTATTGGTCCTTTGGCTATTGGTAAAACGGTCAGTCAGGTGATGGCAAGGAATAAGCACATGTAGTCTTTTCAGGTTAATAATAGAATGCTTGTGAAATATGTATTTATATTGTTAAAAGTAAAAATACTTCACGTAAATATTGATTTCCACGAGGGTTACGTAGTTTCGTCCTGAGGAAAAGCATGACTGGAATCTGAGCATTGTATTACAAAGGGATAAAATGTTCATCTAAGACTTCAAAAATGGATAAGCATTATTTCTCATTGAAGCAAAACATTTATATAGTCCCCAAAACATTTTGAACAGCTACTGTGATGCCACCTCGTTTGATGTCATTGTGAAGAAAGGTTGGAATCGATAGGCAGTGTATGTTGGAGAGATGCAGCAATTGCCAATTCGATCGGTCGATCGAGAGCCTATGTTGGCCTCTGCTGACTCATTTCTCAAATTTCCTCTTTCCTAACTCTGCTATATCACTCGCAATTCATTCAAAAACAATACTATCTACGCTGCATTATCCACATGTACAGTTTGCAGTGTTTCCCGTGCAGTGCTCCTTCAATACCAGACTATCGTGTCCCCTTCTCCTCCCATATTTCATCATATTTTGCCTCCCGTTACAAAAAATTGATAAATGTAAGTGTTGACAGCTTATTGAGAAATAACACTGATGACTAATGGGCATTATGTAGTGTGTCATCCTTGATGTGAAGCTCTTAACAATTTACATTTGCATAAAAAAAGACAGAACGCGCATGTAGCCAAAACCATAACCCATACGGGTTTGTTATCTCTCTGATAACCGTTGATAGCCGAAACAAATCAACAAAGCATTAAATAAAAAAGTGTAGGACAAAAGCATGGAGTTAATTTGGCTGATGAGCATAGACTTAATTCTGCTTACTTCCTAACTATTTGTCATAACATTTCAGTAATTCTTATGGATGTTCGTCACTGATTCATCTTATCGTTCAATAGTGAGAGAAATCTGATAAGGAAGAGGGGAATGTTAAACTAAATCCATAAGAGTCATAAAATGCACCCACTGGACTATAATATTCCGGGAAGAATCGGATGATGCAGGAACTGTAGCAGCAAATGCTCGTTTAGTAGGCTCTGCAAAACAGGATCCGGTAAGCTGACAAACTAAAAAGATGATGGAATCAACGAACCAGTTTGCACGCAAAGTACATAAAAAGTCTGCTGGATCACACTTCTGATCCTAGAATAGATTTACTTCTTAATGGCTAAAAACTTCAAGCCAGCATCGTTCAGGATGCCATATATACATCGCTATCAGTGAATCATCCACATACCACAAACATCAACTACTGTTATCAGTGAATCATCCACATATCACAACTCTTGAAATGTCATAGCAGACATATATTTTTTCTTCGTTTGATGTGAAACTTATGCCTATCGTTGATTAGGATCGTTTGACATGTATGACAGCGAAGGTCAAAAGGTCAAATCACATATGCCCTGAAGGGATGTACTCTGTTTACTTAGCTCCTCCCTTTCTCTTACAGTCGTGTCGACGGGATGGAGCTCAGTTAATAGAAGTAAATCCTCCTCAAAGCGGTCACTCCTTACTTTCGCTCTCTATCACTGCTTCATGAGGCCAATCTACGACATCACCAGTCAGTCCACAACTTATGGTCATTCTTTCACCACAACGCTAACTCCTGACCTATCTAGTTCTTCCCGCTTGATGCCGACTGTACGACTTACGACACATGGATGGATGGATGGGCGGATAAGTAAGTTCCCATTCTCACCGGCCTCATCTGTACCATCGGAAAACTGGCAGCAAGCAGGATGACGTGTCGAGTGTCGACTGCTTATCGATTGGTCCGCATTTTTCTTCCGAGGTAAGGACCAATCGATAATGTACGTTGCTACATCCAAAAAGAATACTTACACGGACAGGGGAATGAGAGAAAGAGGGCAGCGAGCTGTATGGGTGACTGCTCAACTAATCGATCGATTGTGTGGGAGTGGGGAGGAGGGCTCCGAATGAGATGCTATAAAAGATAGCCAGCCTGCCTTGTAAACCATTCATTCGTTGGTTGGCTGGTTGGTGAGCGTTACTCGGTTCAGTCGGGGTTAATAATAGCTTGGTGAGCGGGGGTTTCGGAGGATAGTAAAGGCTGGGAGTGGTGGTTGTTTGGGCAGCAGTTGTGCGGTGGTCGAGGAGTTGGCGTCTGGGGAAGCAGAGTAGGACTGAGAAAGTTCAGGGGTTTGAGATCGGTGATTTTGATGTGACTTTATTTTGGAGAGAACAGGTTTTCTATATATTGTGTGAGAGTCGCTATCCTATCACAACCTTTGGACAGGACTGATTCATTTCATCGTTTTTCTAGATTTTTCTTAGACTCCCTTCTTAGTGAAGGAAGAAGATGCTATGGGATTTGGAAGTAACTTTAGTTATTTGCAGCGCTCTATAATTACAAACATGCAAATTTTCGTGAAGACATTAACTGGGAAGACGATTACTCTTGAAGTGGAGGCTTCAGACACGATTGAAAATGTCAAAGCAAAAATACAAGATAAGGAAGGTATCCCGCCAGACCAACAACGCCTGATTTTTGCTGGTATGAAAATTATGTTTGTGTGATGAAAATGCATTTCTTTTGTAGTTTAGTGGCTGGTCCGGATTTTGGTAGGGTAGTTTCAAGAATTCCAATAGTTTTGGACTCGTTTCGAAGTTCGTTAAGCCTTAGCATTACTCTTCTAGGTAAGCAGTTGGAAGATGGACGTACTTTGTCGGACTACAATATCCAGAAGGAATCTACGTTGCATCTAGTTCTTCGGCTGAGGGGTGGCATGCAGATTTTCGTTAAAACTCTTACTGGTAAAACTATTACACTGGAGGTGGAAGCATCTGACACGATCGAGAATGTTAAGGCGAAAATCCAGGATAAAGAGGGGATCCCACCAGATCAACAGCGACTAATCTTTGCCGGTATGTTTTCGTCGGTAGCTACGAACTCCTACATATATTCGATATCGACTAATTGTTGGGTGATACTTCACTTGTTAATTTAATATATCATTGAGTTGGGACTATGTAACAGCAATGGTACACTTTCCAGATGGGGGTTTATTTTGTTATATTTTATAGGAAAACAGTTAGAAGACGGTCGTACCTTATCCGACTATAATATTCAGAAGGAGTCTACGCTCCATCTGGTACTTCGGCTTCGTGGCGGTATGCAAATTTTTGTGAAGACGTTAACGGGCAAAACAATCACCTTAGAAGTGGAGGCTTCTGACACAATCGAAAATGTAAAGGCCAAGATTCAGGATAAAGAAGGAATTCCGCCTGATCAGCAGCGTCTTATTTTCGCTGGTATGCATATGGTTGATTTTTACTTGGTAAATACAACACACTTGGTAATTTCCCATATGATAAAATTTCGATGAGAAGTGGAGTGGGATAGTTCGCTGCCATAGTGATGTGTTATTAAGTGGTTAATGGGTGTAGTTTTTAAGGTAAACAGTTAGAAGATGGGCGAACATTGTCTGATTATAACATCCAAAAGGAGTCGACATTACATTTGGTCCTCCGTCTTCGTGGTGGCATGCAGATTTTTGTTAAAACACTTACTGGCAAAACTATAACACTGGAGGTGGAGGCGTCGGATACGATCGAAAATGTAAAGGCCAAAATCCAGGATAAAGAAGGTATCCCTCCTGACCAGCAGCGACTCATTTTCGCAGGTATGGATTTTGTGGAGTTCTCTGCACTGACAATCTATGCGACATTCTCATTACGACAAGGGATCTCATTGGTTTTTATTTTGAGTTGGATATTCGTGTTTTGATTTGGTTCTTTTGTAGGAAAACAACTGGAAGATGGTCGCACACTTTCGGACTATAACATCCAGAAAGAATCTACTTTGCATCTGGTGCTCAGATTACGCGGAGGAATGCAAATTTTCGTAAAAACTTTGACGGGTAAGACCATAACTTTGGAAGTAGAGGCTTCGGATACTATCGAGAATGTCAAAGCAAAAATCCAAGACAAGGAAGGCATTCCACCGGATCAGCAGAGACTGATCTTTGCTGGAAAGCAGCTGGAGGACGGTCGTACCTTATCGGATTACAACATTCAGAAGGAGTCGACGCTGCATCTGGTTCTTCGTCTTCGTGGTGGTTACTGATCTATTTTCTGCTTGCTGTAAATTTTTTGGAAGTGATGCATTAAATTTGCTTTATTGGCCTTGAGGTTGAAATTGCAATTTCAAAATTCTAAGACTTTGAGTGAGTCAAATCAAAGCTGAAATTGTGTCTGCCCTTGTTTTGAGAGGAATTAATTTCCGGTTCTCGCGGACGGGTATTTTCATCTTAGCAAAGTGTATATTGACTTTTCTCTAGATTCCCTTTTTAGTTGTCGAGATGGACGGGATTTTACTCTTCTAAGGATTTGTGAATAAAAAATTATTGCAGTACTTGTCGCTTATGGAGTATTTCGTAATGTCCCTTAAAAATATTACGTTTTCATCATCTACATACTAACTTTTGCTTTCCAGCTGCATTTAAAGTCAGGAAATCATCAAGAAATATTAACTAAAGCTATTTAATGCTGTAACCAATGAAGGACAGTGTTCAGCCATTAGAGTTTCGCAGAAGTGTTTTTAATGCTTTTTTGCACTAAATTAATAACTAAGTTGAAGGTAATGGAAAGGATGAATTGGTTCCTTAAAATATGAAAGCGGAATGAATTTTCCACCTGATCAGACCAATCGAGAGTTCCAATACCACTGTCCGCATCTTGATTTTCTTTCAGAGAATCTTCCAGTTGACTGGCACCATCAAATATAAACCTACGATCATCTCCATAAGTGTAATCAAAATCGGCGCTACCATAATCACTGCTTCCTGGTGCTGATGGGATATCTGTTTCCTGGATATCAGTTCCAGTGACAATACTCGACACGATGCTTGGATGTCTGAAGTCGGAATCACAGCTGCTATTTTCA